TCTCTGTAGCTTTGGAGTCTGTCCTGGAGCTTGCTCTGTAGACCAGGCTGGTCTCGAACTCGTAGAGATCCTCCTGGGATTAAAGGTGCACCACGACCGCTCAACTAGAGCTGTAGTTTCTTATGCTACAGGCATCTCTGACACAGTCCCTCACCCTTTTCTTCCTCCCCTCCGCCAGGACAGGTTTGGTCAGTGCTAAGATCTGGGTGGGTCTGATCATTTCCTGGGTCAGCTGCAGCTGGATATCTTTGGGAGGAATAGTGTGGGCCGTGACACACCCACAGCCAGGAGTCCTGGTGGCGCTGGCAGATGACAGCCTATTCTGGAGCATCCCACTGGGGGAGGGACCTCTCTCTCTCTCTCTCTCTCTCTCTTTCTCTCTCTCTCTATCTATCTCTCTCCCTCCCTCTCTCCCTCCTTTCCTCCTTCCCTCATTCCCTCCCTCTCTGTCTCTCTCCCTCCCTCCCTCCCTCCCTCCTCCCCCCTCTCTCTATCTCTCTGTTTTAATTTTTATTTTCATGTGTATAGGTGTTTTGCCATGGGTATTGGGTCCCCTGGAACTGTAATTATAAACAGTTGTGAGTTGCCATGTGGGTCCTGGGAATTGAACCCGGTCCTCCAGAAGAGTAGTCAGTGCTCTTAACCATTGAGCTATCTCTCCAGCCCTAAAAGTTCTATAATTTTTTTTTTCGAGACAGGGTGTCTCTGTATAGCCCTGGCTGTCCTGAAACTTTTTGTAGACCAGTCTGGCCTCGAACTCACAGAGATCCGCCTGCCTTTGCCTCCCAAGTGCTGGGATTAAAGGTGCACCACCACCGCCTGGCCAATGTCTCACCTCTAGCAGTGAGACAATGAGGTAACAGCCTGTTAACACATTTTCTACGTGTTAGTTGGCATTCTCAGAGTGCCCTCTGCTTTAAAAATTGTGGACTTATGCACTTACAATTTTTCCTTATTATTTGTGTATGTGTGTGTGTGTGAGAGAGAGATAGAGACTGAGACAGAGAGAAGAGAGAATATGAATGTGTGTGTGTTTAGGCCCGTACATGCCAGAGAGAGAGAATATGTGTGTGTGTTTAGGGATGTATGTGCCATGATTTTGGAGTTGAGAGAGGGAGAATATGAGTGTGAGTGTGTGTCTGGGCCTGCACTTGCCATAATTTCAGAGTTGGTTCTCCTTCAACCATTGGCTCCAGTGGTCAAAGAAGAGTTGTTAGGGTTGTGTTTGCATGCAAGTGCTTTTGACCACTAATTCATCGCTTGGTGGCCATTACATTTTGTTGTTGTTTGTTTTTGAGACAGGATCTTTGTGGGTAGCCCAGGCTGCCTGTTTCCTAAATTCTGGGATTATAGGCAGGCACCACCGTGCCTGGCTTGGCTTGGCCTGTGTCACTTTGTTCTGCTCTGAGCTGCCTCTGCTTTCTGGACCATATACACACAGATCAGCCCTTCCTCTCTTCCCCTCTGGGCTTCTCTAGCTGCTCAGACGGCTGGGGGGCCATGAATGATACATGAATTCTTCATAGTTCTGGAGACTAGGAGTCTAAGACCAGAAGTCTCTATGTGGGATCCTGGCGGGTCTCCTTGGTAAGATTACAGATCCTACTCATGAAGGCTCCACCCTTATACTCAAGTTGGCTCTGATAAGCCCCACCTCCTAACCCTTTACCATGACTAAGAGGGTTTCAACACATGAATTCTGGGGAGACATGGCATGGTAGAACCCTTTGGGGAGATCAAGAATCTTGGTACCACACCTAGATATTTTCTACAGGCAGAACTCAAAAGTATCTGAGCATATCCCTACCGATACTAAATGTGCTCTAGTCCCCCTCACCCTAACCCCTAGCAAGTTTGTGTCTCCCTTCAGAACAGAGCTGTTGGGCGCCAGGTATGGTGCCACACACCTATAATCTCAGAACTTGAAAAGTGAAGGGAGGAGGATCAGGAGTTCAAGGCCAGCCTGGGTTACATGAGACCATATCTTAAAAAAAAAAAAAAGATTGAAACTTTGTACAGCAACAGGATTTTTATAAGAGACAATCTTGATTGCATCAGGGAGTCAGGTACAGCAGGGAGACATGAGCCAGTCTTGGGTCTAGCAGCACCTAGAAGGTGTTTTGTATATAGTAGTGATTTCTGGGCAAGGTTCTATGGTCTGGTTAAGTCATGAGGTCAGTTAAGGTGGTTGGCATTACATTTTTTGGAAGGTAGGGTACTGGTGGAGTTGGGATTGAAGGGTCCCACACATTAAGGAATTGCCCTACCTCTGAACTAGCTGTATCCAACCCTTTTACTTTGTTTCTCTGTTTGAGGCAAAGCCTCACACAGTCCCTCTGGCAGGCTTTGAATTTATCATCCTCCTGCCTCAGCCTCCTAAGTAGATGGAATGGCAGACCTGCATCACCAGGCCTGGCTGCTCTTCTCATTCCTTTAAAATGTGTACAACTATTGGGCGTGGTGGCTCACGCCTTTATTCCCATCACTCAGGAGGCAGAGGCAGGTGGATCTACCTGGGTTCGAGGCCAACCTGGTCTACAAAGAGAGTTCCAGGACAGCCAGAGGTACACAAAGAATCCCTATCTCAAAAAACCAAACAAACAGATATCTTAAAACAAAACAAACCAATAAACTATTTACAAGCCACACAAGTGCACGTGATGTCTGGACAGAGCAAAAGTTGGTGTGTACTTGTTGGAAGTTGCCGACAGATGTCTCCAGCTCAGAGTGGGCCAGCAGCAGCTCACAAGCTCGCGTGCTAATTATGCTTTTTGTCAGTTCTCTGTGTTTTCCTGTTGGTTTGCTGTGGTTGCCATACAACGAGAAGAGAGACTGCGGTTAGGGCAGGCTGGCTCCACTAAATGCCAGAGGAAAGATGTGCTTCAGGCCTTCTGTGACTCCTGGACTTTGCTGGGTGGTCTTCCGTCATCCTTGGAGCATAGGTGTGTCATCTTGCCCTCCTCTGCCATCATGTTCACAGGATGTTCTGTGAGCCCGTCTCTGTGTTCAAATCTCCCCTGCCCCTTTCCGGTGCTGAAAATCAAACCCCAGGCAGGCTCTCTACCACTGGAAAATACCTGAGCTACAATTTCTCCTTTTGAAAGGACATAGTCACATTGAATTAGAGCCTACTGGATGGTCTCATTCTCAATTTGATTGTCTCATTAAGGACACTATCCTCCAATAAAGTTATAGGTCATGGGGATTAAGATTCCAATACATGAAGCTTTGGGGGGAACACGACAAACCTGTAATACCAGACTCTGTTGACATGCACATGTGGGCCATCTCCTATCCCATTCCCTGTGAGGGGCACAGTTCAGTGGTGTAGCGACGACCCCTGTATCTGTGAACATGACAGCAGAACCCTGATGACTCCTCCCACCCACGACTGACGCAGCACGTCCATAGCTCTGCTCGTCACAGTAGAGCCTGCATCACTCTGCCTTGTTTCTTGAGATGTGTTTGTTTCTTTTTCTCCACATCACTGTCCATGTTGTCTGTCCACTTCACCTTTTCTTGTGCATTTATAAAGGACAGCTTTGCAGAAATAGATAAACTCTGGGCATGTCCGGTGACCACTGGCAGCTGGGAAAGGCTTCAGGGGCTACAGTGCTGATCTGTCTGCACTGATAGAAAACCACAAAGCAAAAAGCTGGCCATGTCAGTGAGAAGCCAAAATATGGCTCTAGGAATTAAGGCGAGAGACAGAGGAGAAATTGGCACAGATTCAAGCCCCACGGATGTCAGAGCTGCATTCTACCTGTCTGGAAGCTCCTCCACTGAGGCCTGGGAAGTGACCAGACAGAGCTAAGGAAGGGGGACGCCTGGGACAGCCGAGGCACTGGCCAGAGGCAGGCATGAGAGCAGGTGAGTGGGCAGGTATGGAGCCACCTTGGCTACACTACCCAGCCTGGATGGCACCAACCTACCAGAGAGGAAGAAACAATCACCAGGTCCTGGTCTTAGCCGTGGGCAGAGCCAGTCCTCTGAGCACACGTTCTGAAGGCCAAGTCTGGAGGGCTGGCTGCCTGCTAGCAAACGCAGGCAGAGACACAAGGAATGCAAGGCAGCTCGCGCTGTGGACCCTAGTGGGCTCGGAAAGCCTGAGGGAGCGGCAGGTGTGTGCCTGGTGGGGTCAGATCACCCTCTCCTTTTCCTTCCCACTGAGGACCACATCCCCAGCTCCTCATTCAGCAGGTAGCTAACCCTTGCTGATGCCATCTGAAGGTTAAGAGCAGGAAGTCTACTCTGAGCCTGTGTGGACAGGATGGTGGCATGGAGTCCTCTGCCAGCTGGGTTAAACACCAAAACCAGGTTTATCAGCTGGCCAGCCCTGAACATGTGAGGAATGTGGGCCCGCCCTGAGGGCAGAGGGCTCTACCTAACTGGGCTTTGTCGGAGGGAGGGGGCATCTCTTCCTGAACGGCTTATCACACAGATGGGGAAACTGAGGCATTTCCCACTCATCCCTACTTCCTGGCTTCCTGGGATAAGAACTGGACAATGGAGATGTACTGCAGAGGACTGAGGTCAGTGTAGGGCAGAACCTTCCCAGGCTAGTAGTCCCCAATGCCCCTGTCTCTCCTCTCCCGTCTGTATTCACCTCGCTGGCCCCATCACAATCACACTGAGGCTTCTGCTGTGAGTCAGCTTCCTATACTCACCGCCAGTCCTGAGACTCAGGTTCTCTGTGGTCACTGTTAAGCACGGACACCCTGGTCTTATACAGACAGCTGGCTCTGCCCTGACAACCTATCTGCTGCCTAGGTGGCTCTGTGGGGCGGGCCCACTGACTGTGGAGGGTGGAGCATCCAGGGAGACTTAAAGAGCTCCCAAGGCACACCCTGTGCCCTGTGTTGCTGCCGGATGCCTCAACTCCTACCATGGCCGAAACCACCAAGCTTCAGCTGTTTGTGAAGGTTCTGGGCAGGCTGGGTTGGACGGGGTGTTCTGTGTTCTTGTGTAGGCTAAGGGGTGGGTCTTCCTAAGGGTGCCCCCCCACCATGTTGGGCTGAAGCTGCCCCACACAGGGCTGAACAGAGTCAGGCAGCCTGGGGGAGGAGTTTCCATATGGGAGGGGGATCAGATAGCCTGGGTCTCTAAACCTTGGCTCCTGGACCTGGCACAGCCCTGGGAGAAAGCCCCATGGTGGGGAGCTGTCAATCTGGTAGCTTACACCACACATTTATCTAGGATTCAAGTTCATGTGCCAGGACGGGGCTTGCCGGATAGCTCCATTGGCTCTCAGGCCAGAGCTCAGATCTGAGTGCAGGCAGGTCCTGAGCTCCTCTTTGGCCACTTCCCTGAGCTGTTAGCCTCAATACCCAGTTGTGTGGGTTAATCACCTAGAAGACTCTCTGGCCTACCCCACCCTGCAGCCAGTCTCTGTGACTAGAACTCTCTGGTGCTGGAAGAAAAGGTTGTGGCAGGACCCTAACTTCAGGCCCCGTCCCTACCTGCCTCCAAGTTCCCGGCTTCCCCTGCTTTCCCCATACCAGGGATCAGGTCAAGGGCCCTCACTACACTCTTGTAGATGCCAGGCCCAACCAGGCCAGAGTCCTAGCATGCCTCCAGAGTCAACAGCAGTGGGAGGCAGGTTCCCACCCAGTCAGGTGTCAGGATTCCTGGGTCTGCTCCCAGCCCAACACCCCGCTCCACCCACCCAGGCCAGCGAAGACGGCGAGAGTGTAGGACACTGCCCTTCCTGTCAGCGGCTCTTCATGGTCCTACTCCTCAAGGGTGTGCCCTTCACACTCACCACAGTGGACACACGAAGGTGAGACACAGCCCTGGACCCCTCCCTGGCTTCTGCCCACCTCGGGCCAGCCACCTCCCTTCTGCCTGGTGTCCACAGGGCACTGGATGTGCTGAAGGACTTCGCGCCAGGCTCGCAGCTGCCCATCTTGCTCTATGATGGGGATGTCAAGACGGACACGCTGCAGATCGAAGAGTTTCTGGAGGCGACGCTGAGGCCACCTGAGTGAGCACCCGAGGGGCGGCAAAGCACGGATGGGACTCCCTGGGGGACGCTTGGGAGAATGCTTAGGAAGGGTGTGTTGAGACATGGTGTGAGGATCTGACTGGAGGTCTCAAACCACTGCCACCTACAGCTTCCCTAGCCTGGCACCTAGGTACCGGGAGTCCAACACAGCAGGAAACGACATCTTCCACAAGTTTTCTGCCTTCATCAAGAATCCCGTGCCTACACAGGACAATGGTGAGACCCAGCCCAGCCCTGACAGGCAGGAGGGTTACCCAAGGCCAAACTTGAGTCCTTACTATGCCATTGCTCCCAAGCCCTGTGTCAGCAGCTGCTCCGGGCCCTGACCAGGCTGGACAGCTACCTGCGCACTCCACTAGACCATGAACTGGCACAGGAACCATGGCTTCGCGAGTCCCGGCGCCGATTCCTGGATGGTGACCAGTTCACACTGGCTGACTGCAGCCTGCTGCCCAAGCTGCACATCGTGGATGTGAGTGGGGCGCCAGCTGGTAGGTGTGGGGAGAAGGGCTCTGTGTGAGGCCCTCCTCACACTCTGTCCGTACCTACAGACCGTGTGTGCACACTTCCGCCAGATGCCCATCCCCGAGGACCTGGGTGCTGTCCGCCGTTACCTGGACAGCGCGTTGCAGGAGAAGGAGTTCAAGTACACATGTCCCCACAGTGCAGAGATCCTGGCAGCTTACCGGCCCGCTGTGCACCCCCGTTAGCCCCCCAACTCCACACACTCCTCTGCGGCCTATAAAGGCATCTCTGCCCCCAAGTAAGCGTGTCCTGAACATCCAAGTGGCCAGAGGCCCACAATTACGCCAGCCCAACCCCACGGTGAGAAGCATAGTTCAAAATGACAGCCTAAAATGACAGGGGCAGGAGAGTCCGGCAGGCAAGGCCCAGCTTATCCTCCGGGGCTGGCTCAAAGGCCTGGGGCCCCCTACAGCTGCCTGGCACAGAGGCAGAGATCTAGGGGACTGGATTAGTCTCCCAAACCAGTCAGGCCAGAGCTGGGCGGGGTGCCCTGGATGGCCAAGAAGGGTGGGGAGAAGAGCTCCATGGGTTCAACCTCCGGGATCTCAGCCAGGTGGGTGGGGGCAGGCCTACATTCCTTAGCCCCACCACGGACTGCGGGTCAGCCCCATCTCCTCCTATGAGGGGCTTCCACCATCTGATGCTCTGTGGGCGCCTTCCAAACATGCATCTTCCCCAAGACAAGCCATCTGTGCATCTTTGTACGGGACAGGTGTGACCTGCCCTGCGTGGGTGGAGCTTAGAAGTGTGGGGCAGCATTCCAAGCCTATGGAGTCCTAGCCCTACCAGGCAGGGACCTTTTCAGCTTCTGGGCTGGCCATGCAGAAACAACATAGACAGTCTAAGAAAGCTCTACCCTAGACCAAGCCAGGAGCGCCTCCTGGGTGCACACAGCCGGATGCATCTGTTTGCACCCTGGGGCTCCACATCAAAAGGCTCTTCTCTGGCTTCCCCCGCAAGGCGGTTCCTCACCAGTCGAGTCTGGCCTAGCATTTCTACCCAAGAGAGCAGTTTATTAACCAGGAAGGGATGAGAGGCACTCCTGCCCAACAGTAAGACCAGTCATTGGAAGTTAAGCAGTGGCTTTCTCTGGTTGGTGGGGGTCTTGGATCTACCCCTTTCGATGTAGACAGGCTTCTGGCAAGGCCACGGGTTCTGTTGTATCTTCAGGTCTCATCGAAGTCTACACCGCCAGCTGGCTTCTTACTAGAAGATAATGTATGTAATGCACAGAGGAAAGGGAGGGGACCAGGGTAGGAAAGACATGAGGGAAGTACCTTTTGAAGCCAGGGTTGATGAGAGACTCCCCCGGACACCGTCTCCTGACCCCAAGTCCAGAGCTGCCTCTCTGTTGCTCAGGTTCTGCCGGAAAATCAGATCAGGGAAATCTTGAACCCAAAAGAACCCTGAGCAGAACTCTGTCCACTCTGAAAGATTCTCTCTAGAACATGGGGCATCAGGGGAAGGCAGCTCCAGAGAAAGCCCAGTCAACCTACCTGCCAGGCCCGCCTCTTACCTGGTAGGAAGAAGTGAGGGCCCGCTGGATGGGTGTTCTTTCTGGGACTCGTCTCTTCTGCAGCCGGGAGAAAGCCATGGGCACCCCACTCAGTGCCACGAAGGTATGCGAAAGCAGGTCCCCGAGTGAGGGTTCAGGTGCCCACGTATATCCTACCTGCCAGTTGCTTCTCTAGGTTGTATACACGCTCTGCCAGGCTGAGAGTCAAAGCCTGGAGCTTAGGGGCTGCCTCTGGGCTGGGCACCTTGGAGAGGTCAAAGGCTAGTGCGGAGGTGTCCCCTGAAAGGGTCATCGAGGCCCTATCGTCTTGCAGGCTTACGGTCACTGCTTGTTGCTGGCAAGCTGCCCTAAGTAGAGAGAGATGTGTGTTATGGACAGGACGTGTGTTAACCCTACCTCAAGTTCCTCACCCACATGGCCTCTCTAACTGGGACTCACCTGAACCGGGAAGGGATGTCCTCGGTCCCACTTAGGCCAAATCGGGTTTTCTACTGGGAACACGGGAATTGTCATTAACTGCCCGGGACCCTGGACCCACAAGACGCTCCAAACTGCCCAACCCTGGAATACTATTAGGGCCACAGGCAAAGGGGAGGGGAGTAGGGGTGCTAGGCTCCCAGATGTCTCCCACCCCCAGCGCGGGTACGCACGAGTGTCGCCAGGCTGTCAGGCGAGAAGCAGGTGCTCCAGAGCTCCGCGGCGTCCGTCACACTGGGCGGGAGGGGCTGTCAAGGCTCGGGGCCCGCTGCGCTCCCGCACCCCACATCCCTAGACCCCACTCACTAGAGGTTGAAGCCGCCGCCGTCCCCGTCTCCGCTGTCCTCCGATTCACAGTAGCACACAAAGCGGGGAGGGCCCGAGCCTGGCGGCAGAACGCACAGCGGCGGCGACAGCGGCGGAGGGGCCATGGCCGCAAAGCGGTTTCGCCGCAGGAACCTAGACAGCTGTGGGTTGAGGGCGCCTGCGCAGTAGTACGGACTCGGTGATTCGCAAGCTCCAGAGTCCGCTCGGCTCGGGGCGGAACTTCTGGTGTCGGGGGAGACGGAAGGACGAGGCAGCGGGGCGGGGCGGTACCTAGGGCGGCCGGTGTTGCTGCAGATCAGGCCCGGCGCGCAGGCCCGAGCTAAAGGGCGGGGCTTAAGGCGTGGGGCGGGGCTGGAGGCACCTGGAGGGCGGGGCTTAGAACGGGGCCGGACTAGAGGGCGGGACTTAGAACTCTAGTAGGCTCCTTAGTGCTATACCGGGTTCCGCCCTTTGGCAACCTTGCACCCTAGCGGAAATCTATTAGGGCTACACCTTTTTTTTTTTTTTTTTTGCTTTGGTTTGGTTGTTTTTCGAGACAGAGCTGCTTTTCTGTGTAGCTTTGGAGCCTGTTCTGGAATTCGCTCTGTAAACCAGTCTGGCATCGAACTCACAGAGATCTGCCTGCGTCTGCCTCCTGAGTGCCAATATTAAAGGCATGAGCCACCACCGCCCTGCAGGGCCTCACTTCTTGTGCCTCCTTGTGACCCTGCTCACATCTGCCACTCTTCAATGCTAGTCCTCTTTCCTAAACATTCCCCGTGTACTGATCCCGGAGGACTCCGGACTGTTAGCCGCTTGTCCCTTCATGTCACTTTAGATACAAACACACCTCTTTCCACGCTGAATTGCAACAAACCAAAATGCAAGAGTGAGTGCAGTACGTCTGGCAGACAGTGCAAACAGTGAAGCCCCCCTACTCCATGGGATACCTTCCCATCATCTGAACTCCCCACCCCATCACCCATCCCGTGCTACCTGGTGCCTTAGCCTTGAGGACACTTTGATCAACACAAGGCCTCTGGACTTGAGATCTGTTGGAAGAGATGGATAATCAACAGGGCAACACTCGGGTTGCCGCAGAGTGCTGGTCAGAATCCACAACAGGGGCTGCAGGATATGAGTTGACGTTGTTTGAGCTGCTATGAGTAGAGGATGGAGCCCAGCAAAGGGCCTGCTCAGGAGGAGGCCTGAATGGCGGAATGCTGGAAGCCTTCCCAAGGCTGTGCAAGAGGGCTGTCATGACTGTATGAGAGCCCCATGAGAGCAGTTAGTGACTTTGTGAACTGTGCTAACGTATTTGAAGGGTACAGTCAGCCAAACACACCCCAGTTCCCACTGTTTTCTAGTTCTGCTCAGCCTGCAGAGACTCCTGTCTCAGAGCCCTTGTGTGGGCTGTTTATTTTCCCTAACTATGTACTAACTACCCTTAGCTCTTTGCTGAAGCAGCATCTTCTGAAAGAGTCCTCTTGAGGCGCTTCGTAGAACATTTCAGCTCTGCCCAGGTCTCTCTCTGTCTCTCCCACGTCATTACTTACCTTCCCTGCTTGTCCCTGTGGTTTTAGGATTCTCTAGGACAGCCCTGATGTCGGCTTGCATTTCCTCCCTCGAATGACCCCCTCCCAGAAGCTGCACCTAAAGTCTTGCTTCTGCTCACAGGAAAATGGCAGAAGTGATGGCTGTCATTTCTCCCAACCCTATTGTGTTGCTCACCACAACACAAGGGACGCCTTTGACTAGCAAAGGATGAGGCCGGCCAGTGCAGTGCTAGGGAGGGAGTTAGACGGCAGAGCCATGCAGAGCCCTGTCCAGGCCACCGGTCCGGGAGACAGCGCACTGCATCCCCTTCCACTAGAGGGCCTGCATCAGACCCAGAGATAAGACAGTTTATTGTCCTAAACAGCTAAATTCTGCAGTGATTTGATCCTCAGTCTCCTCTGGAGCCGCTGGGGTTTTGTGGTGGTGGTTGTGGTTTTGTTTGTTTGTTTGTTTACCAATTTTGTGTCTTCAGTGCTTAGGCAGTGAGCCAGGTACAGCAGCGCATGGCAGTGGCCCTGACCACGCTGGGGGTGAAGGCAGGTCACTGTTTGAACCAAGGAATATTTTATGTACTTTAATTTTTAAATTATATGTATGTGTGTGTGTGTGTGTGTGCGCGCGCGCCTGTGTACATGTGAATGCAGGTACTCGTAGAATCCAAAAGAGGATGTCAGATTCCCTGGAGCTGAAATTACAGGCAGTTGTGAGTTATCATATGGGTGTTGGGAATTGAACCCCAGTCCTTTGGAAGAGTAACAACCACTCATAAGTATTGAAACTACCTCTATCCCATTGAACCAAGGAATTTGAGACAAACTCCAGCAGCAGCATACCAAGACCCAACTTGTCAAGACCACTCTGGGTAAGGTGGGACCCATTGGCATCCCAGCTGGTTAGGGTGAGACCCATTGGCATCCAGGGATTTTGAAGCATTAAGGGCAAGATTTTTACATAACTTGTATTACTGTTATATGTAATTTGACATACTTTATTTCTGGCTGGAGAACTGGCTGAGGGTTGCCCCTTGTGGCCATACTAGGGTGGTGCAGTATATGACAAGTGAACTAACTGCCCACAGCAGGGAACGATCTGCTGAACTCCCAGGAACCAGGGCTCCTAACCCCAGAGGAAGGGTATGGTTTCCTTGAGGCTACAGAGGTTATCCTGCTTTCCCTCACTGTAGACCTTTTGGGAGCCCGTGGAGGTGAAGCCGAAGAATGGAGGAAGACCTGACTTGTCTCTGTTGCCACATGGCCTATGAGACCTTCTGTCTCTCCTATTGGTCTATGGCAAGGCTGAATGACCACAGATAGAACATTGATCAAGTGACAGACCCAGCTCAGAAGGCATTTCTCAGTAAATACCTCTGGGGTTGGAACTCAGGGTTTTGGTGGGCTGACTGTACCTTGCCCAAGCCTTGCAGGTGCTGTGGCCATGGAAGCAGATGGGAGCAGGGTTTCTATCTTAGTAGGCCCTTCCCCACTGTCCAGACCCCAAGCCTACATATTAGTGACAGGGCTCACCACTGGCCAAGACCTGGAGACCAGAGGGTACTAGGGCGTTAAAGGGGCTGACTGACCACTGGAGTGCATACACATGAGCGTGTGTGTATGGGTATGGGTTTATGTGTGCACGTGCATGAGAGAGAGTGCGTGTGAGAGTGTGTGTGTGCACATGTGCATGTGTGTGTGCGCGCGCGCGTGCACGCGCTTATTTTCTCTGTGACCTCTCTTCCCAGCCAGCCCCAGCACCAATTAAGAAAAATAGTCTGGGAGCTGGAGAGATGGCTCAGAGGTTAAGAACACTGACTGCTCTTCCAGAGGTCCTG